CCGTGGTGGTGGACGTGGCAATTCCAAGCGATGGTAACATCCGGAAAAAAGAACATGAAAAGCTTGAGAAATACCAAGGTCTCAGAGAGGAGCTGGAGAGGGCCTGGAGGGTAAAGGTGACAGTAGTGCCCGTGGTGATCGGTGCACTCGGGGCAGTGACCCCGAAGCTAGAAGAGTGGTTACAGCGGATCCCCGGAACAACCTCGGACATCTCGGTCCAGAAATGTGCAGTGCTAGGAACAGCAAAGATACTGCGCAGAACCCTCAAGCTCCCAGGCCTCTGGTAGAGGACCCGAGCTTAGAGAGGGATAACCGGCCGCGGAGGGCCAAAGGTGAGTGGACAATTTTTTTTTATATATATATATATAATATAAATGTTTCTCAGACCAGCACCAATCCCAATACAATGGGAAATATTAGTCAATGACAACAGTAAAAAAATAACAAATTGTAAACCGCTTTGTGACTCTGGTTTGTGAAAGGCGGTATATAAATAAAGATAGCTTACTTACTACTTACTTAGTACGCTATGTCACACACACAAAAAAAGCACAAACTGTACATTAGAGCAGTGATTTGTGGCATACTTTTTCATTGAAAACATTCACATGGCAAACCGGAAACTGAAACTCTTCAGCCTTTACCAGTGTATTATAGTGTATTATTAAGGGTATTATATATTAAAAACAAAATCAAGCCCTCTATTATTATTATCTATTATTATTAGCCCTTACATTATTTTGTCTTTTAGATTACTTTGAACCAATTAGATGATATTGGAAAATTTCGAAAAGCACACCAAACAAGATCTCAAGGCACACTAACATGCCACATTAGCTGAACAACATGAGAAAATTACAGTTAAAAAACCTTATATTTCCCACCATTACACACAATCCAATTCAATGAAGGTGTATCCCAAATCTTGGTTACTTCATCAACATCAAATCCAAATGGTGAGACATGCAAAAACCAAAAAGATATTCTTCAAATAGAAAGATGAATTTGGAACAAGCACAATGGAAAGTGATTTGGACTTCAAATGGCTTTAATGTTTAACAGGAAACAAAGTAAAACATACTTTAACAATCCTGTGCCGTTTTTAATAACGTGTCCTGTAATTAATAATATTATGTGCACTAAACTATTCTATAATTGTACACATGCAGGGATTAGTCTACAGATCACATGTCAATTCAGTTGCTAAATTTTGAGCTGTGTCTAAATGTCAGCTTACTGAGCACAAATGTTTTGTCCCTGTGTGTGAGCTGTTGAATAGTTGCAAAATGAAATCCTGCGCTTGATATTCAAGGCTAGTTTAGGATTAGGTGCAGGCAAGCAGCCCACAGCCCGCAGCCCACAGTCCGCAGCCCACAGCCCGCAGCCCGCAGCCCACAGCCCACAGCCCACAGCCCACAGCCCGCAGCCCACAGCCCGCAGCCCACAGCCCGCAGCCCACAGCCCACAGCCCACAGCCCGCAGCCCACAGCCTGTTGCATCGCAACATTCTTTTCAATGTACCATGACTATTTATGTTTTTAATATCTTTGTTTCTATCTTGCTGAACTATGCAAATAAACTTGCCCTGCCTAGTTACAAATAAAATATACATATATTATGTTCAATAAAAATTTCCCTTGCATGTGCACTAAATACTAAACACTACTTGGATATGGCAAGGGGGTTTGCAGGCCCCTCACCAGAGATCAAATGTGCTGTAATGATGGACACTTCAAAACATCAGGCGACCAAGCGGGAATCAGTCAAGCCAAATAAATGATTTAGCCTCAGTCAAAACGCAGCTTTTTTTACAATTGATTTTTAGTTTTTCATGTTTTCATTAAGACAGCTTAGAGGATCCTTTGATAAACAAGTAGCCACACACTGGAATCATTTGAAAATATGTTCTTGAGCATTGTAATCTTAATAATAATGAGTAATATTTTTGGTCCTAAAGCTGGAGTGAGTACCTTTGAAGCCACATACAGTGCCTTGCGAAAGTATTCGGTCCCCTTGAACCTTTCAACATTTCGCCACATTTCAGGCTTCAAACATAAAGATATTTTAATTTTTTGTCATGAATCAACAACAAGTGGGACACAAAAGAATGTTCCACTTCAAGTGGGACACGTGAAGTGGAACGAAATTGATTGGATAATTTAAACTTTTTTAACAAATAAAAAACTGAAAAGTGGGACGTGCATTATCATTCGGCCCCTTTACTTTCAGCGCAGCAAACTCAGTCCAGAAGTTCAGTGAGGATCTTTGAATGATCCAATGTTGTCCTAAATGACTGATGATGATAAATAGAATGCACCTGTGTGTGATCAAGTCTCCGTATAAATGCACCTGCTCTTTGATAGTCTCAGGGTTCTGTTTAAAGCGCAGAGAGAACCATGAAGACAAAGGAACACACCAGGCAGGTCCGAGATACTGTTGTGGAGAAGTTTAAAGCCGGATTTAGATACAAAAAGATTTCCCAAGCTTTAAACATCTCAAGGAGCACTGTGCAAGCAATTATATTGAAATGGAAGGAGTATCAGACCACTGCAAATCTACCAAGACCCGGCCGTCCCTCCAAACTTTCATCTCAAACAAGGAGAAGACTGATCAGAGATTCAGCCAAGAGGCCCATGAACACTCTGGATGAACTGCAGATAACTACAGCTGAGGGGGGAGAGTCTGTCCATAGGACAACAATCAGTCGTTCACTGCACAAATCTGGCCTTTATGGAATAGTGCCATTTCTCAAAGATATCCATAAAAAGTCTCGTTTAAAGTTTGCCACAAGCCACCTGGGAGACACACCAAACATGTGGAAGAAGGTGCTCTGGTCAGATGAAACCAAAATCGAACTTTTTGGCCACAATGCAAAACGATATGTTTGGCGTAAAAGCAACACAGCTCATCACCCTGAACACACCATCCCCACTGTCAAACATGGTGGTGGCAGCATCATGGTTTGGGCCTGCTTTTCTCCAGCAGGGACAGGTAAGATGGCTAAAATTGATGGGAAGATGGATGGAGCCAAACACAGGACCATTCTGGAAGAAAACCTGTTGGAGTCTGCAAAAGACCTGAGACTGGGACGGAGATTTATCTTCCAACAGGACAATGATCCAAAACATAAAGCCAAATCTACAATGGAATGGTTCACAAATAGACGTATCCAGGTGTTAGAATGGCCAAGTCAAAGTCCAGACCTGAATCCAACCTCACTGCGCTCAAGCTGTTTTGCAAGGAAGAATGGGCAAGAATTCCAGTCTCTCGATGTGCAAAACTGATAGAGACATACCCCAAGCGACTTGCAGCTGTAATTGCAGCAAAAGGTGGCGCTACAAAGTATTAGCGCAAGGGGGCCGAATAATATAGCACGCCCCACTTTTCAGTTTTTTATTTGTTAAAGTTTAAATTATCCAATACATTTCGTTCCACTTCACGATTGTGTCCCACTTGTTGTTGATGCTTGACAATTTTTTTTTTATGCCTTAGGATCCAAGAACATTTAATTGGTCAAAACATTTAATTGGAATATTTGTGCTTTGCTGTTTTGTATTCATGCTTCTAGCTCGTTTTGATTTTTGAAAACTGGCAAAAGCTTGGTCACTTTTATGTAAACAAAAAACATCTAAATCTTGGGACAACCGTATAAACCATATCTTTCTAACTCAACCAGTGTGCGGTGGCACGTTGGTGAGCCTTGAGATATTGTTTTTTTATGCCTTAGGATCCAAGAACATTTAATTGGTCAAAACTAGGGCTGTCAAACGATTAATTTTTGTTTGTTGATTAATCGCATAGTAATGGTGAGTTAACTCACGATTAATCGCATTTTTAACATTCTATTTCAAATCCACTCCAATTGAAGTTAAATTAGATTTTCAAATGTAATGACACATTGTTATTCAGACCAAATGTACTTAAATCTGTTTGACTTGCTCACAACCTTCTACTTTTGGGTACAACCAACAAGAGCTGTTAATGAAATGGAAAATGTAGGTACCCCAGCTTTAATTTTGCGAGTTTGCTTGCATTTCAGCGTGTCTCCTCCTCTCTTCCGTGTGTCACACAACATCAGAGAATGGCCCCTGTGTGTTTTCAAACCATTAAAAGAGCAATGCTGCCATCTGCTGGCTCGATAAAATATTGCCTCAAGCCTTACATATTTGATACAATAGACATCTGGGAACGTGAAAATAGCGGGAAACGCAATTGACGTGTTAACACGTCAATGGCAGTTAATGCGTTAATTATTTTTTAACGCGTTAATGAAAACGGTAATTAACGTGAATTAACGCGATAATTTTGACAGCCCTAGTCAAAACATAATTGTTTTTGAAGAAAACCCTACGTTCTGCTTATTTGTTTTACTATTCAATAAACTTGACTGCATTGCTAATAAAGCCGAGAGTCTCATTTTTGTTTCAGTTTCAGCTGGTAGTGTGCCATGTGCTGAATTTCAAAAGGGTTGGTGGACACTGATCTATCCATCCATCTCACAAAAACAAAAGTTAGGTACTCTGGTTCAAATGCCATTTCTGATACGCGCAAGAAAAATAGCTTCCCGCTCCAAAAGAGTACGCACAAACAACTAAAATATTTACTTGATTTTTTGGTGACCCTTGATAAATGCTTCTTATCTCAGTCAAATCATGTCAAATTGGATTTAAAAAAAGGTAAATCAAGTTAGTTCAAGACAACTTTAGGATCCAAAATTCAAGTCATGTTTCTCCCCATCCTCATTGGACTACCTTCTCTACTCCAAACAAGATACTATATTATTATTCATGAGCCTAGATTACTTATGGATTCATTAACGTTTTTGTTGCACTTTAGCTGTATGCCTATGCCTTGCCTATGTCCACATGCCGTTGGAATGATCTGCTCTGACGTTGTCGACGTAAGCCTTCCAGAGGGTGACGTACAGGGTGACACTAGCATGCATGAGTGTGTGGGTGACAGAAAGCATGGCACTGACGGTACACAAAGTGGTTACTTACAGGTAGTATGTGTAGGAGTGATAGGTTCTCCTGCCCAGTGGTGGTGGAGGAGGTGGGAGGAGCAGGGAGGAGGGAGAGGGAGGGGGATGGAATGAAAAGGAAAGAAAAAAGTAAAAATATATTAATGTCTGAGAAACGAAGAGAGAGTCGAAATGAACAAACTCAGATATGGTTGGCGTAACACTGGTGTGAGGGCAGAGGTGGAAGCATGGTCTCATGTAGAGAGACATACAGGAATCATTTGAAGAAATATGACTTTGATTACAACAATATCAATTTTACAATAATGGTGACGCACTTTGGATTGCCTTGCGCACAAGTGTTGATTGAATGTTAAACACATTTGCTTTTGCAAAACATGAATGGATGGTTTAAGGTAGTTCATCATTAAACGGCAGTAAATGGGGAAAACAAACTTGCATGCCACCCTCACAACGCCACAGAATATGCTAATACCATAAATCTACTATAGCCCTTTTCAAGACATATTTAAAGCTGGGGTACCTAACTTTCCAACCACAACAAATCAAAATCATGTAATAAAAAGGCTCTAAAACACTTTATTCCACCACTAGTTTTTCCCTCTTTCACATATTTAGATCAGCTTTTTCATAAGGAAAAGTGCCAATCTGCTCTCAGCCCAAAGCGTCAAATAGTGACTCACAAGGCTCTTTCTTGGAAGTATGCAAAAGATAACACATTCTCTCCAGCGATTCAAGACAGTATATTGTGGTCTAGACAAGACTTTGGTTAAGGGACAAAACAGAATGCTATATTTATTGTAAAAAGGTCAAAAAAGAGAGACCCAGCCTCACTCAGCAAATCAACTCTAAGCCAAAAACATCAATTAGTGTCTCCGAGGGCTTTTTCTTACAAGTATGCAAAAGATAACATGCTGAAAATAGCATGTTTTTGGCTGATGCATTCACAAAGTTTTACTTTTACAAGACTCTTTTTTTTATGGGAAAAAAAGAGCATTATCTATGTTTAACCCAGCTTTAAAGTTTTGATATTTACAATAATATAATAAACTAATCGCAAAGAGACAAAACACACAACCTCAATGCAGACACGTATGTCAAAGATGGCCACCTTAGAACCACAAAAATTGCAGAAATATCAAATAGAAAAGAAAGATTTAAGTCTAGAGGAATAGAATAAATACAAAAAATAAAACAATGCAAGGTCCAACACTCTCTTGAATTGCAAAAGAGACCCGGAAGTCTACAGCGGACCAGACCTATTTTCTGAAACCCTTGTAACAACACACATTACCATATCTGACCTGGGAGGTGCTGGCTTAATGAGAGCTTGAGATGTCTAAACACAACTACAACTCCCAGATGGAGGCCGCAAATTGCAGTATAAAGCCGACAGATTGTCCAGGGCTTGATTGGGCCTAATTGAATTGTGTTGCATTACAGGGCTGATTTTTCACACCCGCCCACCGACATATGAACTCGCCATCAGGGAAGCAGGCGCGTGATCTTCTAGTGTCAAAAATAAACATGAGGAAAGTGCTTATATCAATACAACACACGTTTTCCAGCTGGTATCATTATCACCTTCCGCTATAAGATTCAAATAACAATTTTAAAACACATAGGAGGTTAATATTGATCTATTGAATACACCATGTCTATAGATAATAGTCTTTGCATTATAGAAAGTTTTGATAATGATTTAAACGTCATATGTATTTCTTATTGTGTTGTGATTCATCTTTTTCCGATCTAGCCATCCTAAAAAATTAGTGTTGTTGGACGCCTTTAAAAGCTAAACACATTTTTCACATTGTCACTTATAGATTTCAGAAATAGTGATTCCATATCCAATTTTGTGAAGAAAAGATTTAAAAAAAATATCCAAATGAAATATGTAAAAAAGAATAATAAATACTTGAAGATGCATGGGGGATTTCATGATGAATGGAAAACAGAGTCAAAACAAAGCTCTTAAAAACATTTTAGGATTGTATAGATCTATGTAACTGTAAAAGATCATGTCTCTCAAGCTCCAGCGTTGACACCAACAGTCAGAGAAAAGTGAATTCACTGCATATGTGAAATTGAACAAATGGAAAAGTTATCACTGACAATAACAGAGGTGTACTCATGGCTGTGGTCTCCTCCTGAGTGTCTTTCATAAGAAACTTAATCCTAGATCAAGTTTATCCTTAATCCTTAGATCAGAACTGGTCAAGTTAAAGGGAACCTGAGCAACAAGAGTAAACTAAACTGGACCAACATGGACACGTAAAATAACACTTATAAATAAACATATCCCTGCTATTATCTTGTCCATTAAAAGAGCTGCTCTACAATCTATTCCACTAAATGCACACACTTGTAGAAATCTAAAAAAGTTACCTGGTTAATGATCTAATCTGAATTTTGGCTGTAGTCTCAGTCCTTGTTCTAGAGCTGTTTCTATAGAGAAACAAAAGATGCGTCTGGGGTAAGTCTATCTGATACATATTAGACCAATTGGAATGATAATGTATTTGTAATGTTTTAATGTTCTGATTTGGAAAAGGCTGCAGCTTGTGAAGAAGTTAAACATAAACAATAAATGATGGGTGGTGTTTGCACTGGGGGAGTTAATTTCTCAAAAAAGATTTGTCGGTGGACATTTGTGCATTTGTGCGTGGGAGCAGATCCCTCTCTCTTTTTTTTTTGGTTCCTTGCTGAGGCAGGAGGGTCCTAGGACAGTGATGATCGGGGACATTAATGGTCACTTGATAACATTTTGGACATTGGTCATCCTGCTCCCATTGATCCAATGGCACATTTGTGTTTGTTTTTGCATTTCCTATGTCCAAAACGATTTGATTCTCTGATCGCTTGGTGATTAGACAACTTTGTGTGTTGTGATTTAGGGCTATACACAAATACATAGATTTGAATTTACAGTACAAAAAGGAATCAAACGAATCCATAACTCACATTTTCCAAAACGTGAAAAGAAAGTCAACGTCCCAACAGTTCTGGCTTTTCCATTGTCATTTCATTCCTATCTGCCTTCTCCCTCTACATCACTAGGCTCAAAAAAACAAAATTATTCCCATTTGGGTGTCACTGAAGCGGGGTGCATTTGTTTGAGGAAGCCGCAAAAGTGGATTCATTTTTCATGGCGCACTACTCTTGCGGTTGTAAACAGCCTTAATGGGGCATATCAACACAATCAAATTAATTATTTAGCCCGACGCTGACAATGCTACGGTTTAAGGGAGAAACATACAGAATTTCTAAACTATTAGGACTCAATGAGATTTCTATGTGGAATAAAATGGAGGTCGGAGTCTAACCTCCAAGGAATCATGGGTGGGGGGAAATTTAATTGGGGCTAAGCCAAGCAATAAAATGTTCACAAGTCTTGACACAGATGAGATGTTGGGTGGAGTTTCTCAAACAAAACTCGTGAAAATCTTGGATCTTCTTGCTGAAAGGCTTGAGCATATTGGCACCTAACTTTCAAACCACAACAAATGCTATCTATGTCATATCATTAATCTATAGTCCCCTGCTCTCCAAACAGTCTGGTTCCCGTGAGTGTAATTTTTGGCCTCTGTCACATCTCTAGATTAGCTTTTTCAGACAGAAAAGTGAAAAAGACGTCCCAACAATGCAGAGCCATCAGCTCCCAGCACAAACCGTCAAATAGTGACTCGCAGGGTTCTTTCTAACAAGTATGCAACAGATTACATGTTTTCTAATGAGACCGAGCTGGCATGTTGTGGTCTGATTGTACAAGACTCTTTCTGTTGGGACCATAGAGTGTAAATATTATCGGACGTAGGCCCGCCTATCTCCGCCGTTCAAACTAATGGGCCAAAATTTGTGCTCTACTGGAGCTATCCAAAATGGCCGCGAGTGGTCCCGACCACAAGAAAATTGTGAAAAAACGCATCTGCGCATGTGTCACCCAGCACGAGCTCCATTCATTTAAACGAGTGCCTTAAAAAATTCACAGCGACTAAAGAGTGGTCCAAAAAAATTCACTCCCCTCAGCATTAACCCGCATGGCGCCGTAAAGATGGCGCTGTGGCAAGAGCTCTGGTGTGTGTCGTCTGGTGCACACCGGGGTAGTCTTGCACAGTTTTTCCAATGTGGTTTTACTGCAAATGGCAAATAAATGAATCTGAATCTGACATGTGGAACGGAGCTTTGGGCCAAGAGCCAACTTTTTGGGCCATCCTGTAGAGACGTTTTTGAGGGATAAGAAGATGCTATGCGTTAGCATTGGCTAATTCTTATTCCGGGTCCACCCCCATCGGCCCGGGGTGGTATTGCAAGCATGTCAGCGCACGTCATTTTGGCCACTTTTGAGCCGTGACCCGCCCCCACTGGTTGGGACAAACAAAATGTAAAACATTTGGAAAAAAGTATCACAGCTTTATTAATACATGGGAAAACGTGCATTCTGATCATGCACAAGGGAATAATGTTAGATTTGGATACGATTAAATCTAAATTCTAAACACGCATGCACATTTGAACGTATGCTACTCACCTCTTTTTCATGAGCAGCACGACCCCGAGGAAGATGATTACGAAGAGGAGGATCCCCGCGATGACCCCAGCAATCTTCACCGTGTGGTCCGTTTGCTTCTCCGGCTCCACCGCGTCTGGCTTGTGCGTGGCTGCTCCTGGGAATTAAATATTGCAGTTAAAACTGGATTCATATCGTTTTTGGTGAGGTACAAAGGACTAGGACAGGTTAGTGTGCAAATCAACAAATGCTTTAAATGTTTATGCTTGTTAGTTATTCTTTTAGTGTACAAGTATTTATATTTTACTATATATTATACAGCATACAACTATTACTGTGTCTATTATTTTGCCATTTTCCCCTATTTCAAATAGTGTCTGAACTTGTTTGAGATTTGCCCAACAATAACCACCACATTTGTTACGAGGCCATTTGAACCTCACAATACTTTCGCAAAATGTTTCAATAATGCCTGAGTATGCAATGTAAGTATCCATTCATTTTAGATTAGGCTAATGCATTATTGACCTAAAAACACATCTCTTGCCAGCTTCAATTGTACATATTTAATTGTCCAAATCTTATCAGCAAGTGTGCGCCTTTGATAAGTGCTCTGTTTGCATATATTTATCTCCAAAGCCATGTTTTTGACTGTGAGAGGCTCTCTGGTCTACCCATGCACCTTATGCTTATAGCATTGTGGACTTTAGTGGCTAGTGGATGAGCATTGTATATAGTGGAAGAGATAAGCCTACCCTTGGTTAATCATGTCGCCTCTCTTCACGGCCTCTATCAGAACGTAGGATGTGGTTCGTATAAAGATAATCCCCACGCAAAGATAAAAATGGTGGTAATAAACCATGCTTGTGCAGAGAGAAGATAGAAACTTAAAGAAGGGATAGTTTTAACAGCCCCAATACGATGTGATAAGGAGGGCTCTGGAAGTGTCCACCTAAACAACACCATTATTCCTTGTCACTGCAGGTAAATTTAGGATGATAAATGGGTGTGTCAAGAACAAATCTGTTAGCATGCACTGCTCTCCGCCAGCCGCCACTGCTGATTTCTTAAATAAAATAAATAAATTTATCAAGAAATATATATATATATATATATATTATATATTCATATATAACCCTGTCCAGGAGGGTAGCAATGACATAGTGTTCTAGATAGCGGCTCGGAAGTTTATTTAAATAGAGGTTTTAAAGCGTGGATAGTGACACGGCAATCATAGTTGGAGTGACAGAAAGATTTTGTCTCAATATTCTTTTTGAACAAATGTGCCATGGAGCAGACAGAACTGACACATGTGGAATTGCGGGCCAGATAATAACAATAGCAAGTCACGTTGACATTTCTTGTTGTCATCATGTGTGTTACGCTTTTGGAAATTTGACAGGTTTAATTTGTTGACACTATGACCTTAAAGGTGCTTTTGTACGATGTTTCTGATGGTGTCTACTACCACCCAGTGCTTGTACCTACCATCTATAGAAATGAGCAGTGCAAACCCCCTGGCACAATGACGTCTAATTGGGAAGTGTGACTATAATAGAACAATTTTACAATATAACTAACATAAGTTTAACATATACAAATATATGAATTATAGCTATGTTGTAGTGTGTTAGGGTCAAATTTGACCCATAGAGATTTGGCAGTAAAAGGAGACTTTGTTTTCTGAAACTTTTTCTGGAGTTCTGGTCTGAAAAGCTCTAATGCAGTCTTTATATCTTGGATATGTGACTTTGTGAATAGAGTGGGTCCAGGGCTCATTTTTATGATGTTTGCTGATGTTGCTCTGCCTTCATTTTCATACGGGTTTGAGACCAAACCTTCCCATTCTTTGAAACAAAGCCCTGCTCTGCTCATTCAGTTACTTCTTCTTCTGAAGCCGATATGTCTTCATCTTTATGTGGATCATCCACAAAATCATCCTCAGATACATCCTCCTCTATTTCAGCCTAATCGGGCGGCACAGTGGTTGAGTGTATAGCACTGTCACTTCTCAGCCAAGAAGGTTCTGGGTTCAAATCCTGGTCAGAACATGGCCTTTCTGAGTGGGGTTTGCAAGTTCTCCCTGTGACATAGGTTTCCTCCAGGGTTACTTTGATGTGAGAAAAAATGTGTTCTCTTGGAGGAGCTAATGCATGAATTTTGTATAGTTTTACCGGTTTAGTGTAGTTTTATTACGTTCAGATATTTCAAAATTGTAAAAACAAAGTTTTGCTGTGTTTATATACAGTGCCTTGCGAAAGTATTCGCCCCCCTTGAACCTTTCAACATTTCGCCATATTTCAGGCTTCAAACAAAGATATAAAATTTAAATTTTTTGTCATGAATCAACAACAAGTGGGACACAATCGTGAAGTGGAATGAAATTTGTTGGATAATTTAAACTTTTTTAACAAATAAAAAACTGAAAAGTGGGGCGTGCAATATTATTCGGCACCTTTACTTTCAGTGCAGCAAACTCACTCCAGAAGTTCAGTGAGGATCTTTGAATGATCCAATAATGTCCTAAGTTATCTGCAGTTCATCCAGAGCGATCATGGGCCTCTTGGCTGCATCTCTGATCAGTCTTCTCCTTGTTTGAGATGAAAGTTTGGAGGGATGGCCGGGTCTTGGTAGATTTGCAGTGGTCTGATACTCCTTCCATTTCAATATAATTGCTTGCACAGTGCTCCTTGAGATGTTTAAAGCTTGGGAAATCTTTTTGTATCCAAATCCGGCTTTAAACTTCTCCACAACAGTATCTCGGACCTGCCTGGTGTGTTCCTTTGTCTTCATGGTTCTCTCTGCGCTTTAAACAGAACCCTGAGACTATCAAATAGCAGGTGCATTTATACGGAGACTTGATTACACACAGGTGCATTCTATTTATCATCATCAGTCATTTAGGACAACATTGAATCATTCAAAGATCCTCACTGAACTTCTGGAGTGAGTTTGCTGCACTGAAAGTAAAGGGGCCGAATAATATTGCACGCCCCACTTTTCAGTTTTTTATTTGTTAAAAAAGTTTAAATTATCCAATAAATTTTGTTCCACTTCACGATTGTGTTCCACTTGTTGTTGATTCATGACAAAAAATGAAAATGTTATATCTTTATGTTTGAAGCCTGAAATGTGGCGAAATGTTGAAAGGTTCAAGGGGGCCGAATACTTTCACAAGGCACTGTATGTGTTGTGGGGGATATCATAAAGCCTTGTTCCAAAAAAAAAAAAAAATCAACAAATTGGTAGTTATTACATATTATGACCTTGAAACGCTCGCTGAGACCCTAACACCACATAAGGGTTTAACACATTGATGTCTCTTCTGCTCATCCCCGTAGTCATAATACCTTTGATACAAAACTTGCTTCATGGGTGCCTGGATTAATCAGACTGCTGGTTTTAAATGTATTCAAGGACCCAAATTAGGGCTAGTCCAGTGTGTAAAACAAATTATTGTACTGTATATATGTTTTAATTAATGTATAGTGCATTTTGAGCAATGAAACCCCATTTAATAATAAAATAGAATGCCAAAATCAGAATCCAGCTATGGTGTGTGCTTTCCATTATATTCTCGATCAATGCCACATCACATCAATATTTCAACATAGTGTCCTGCTTCCCAATGACCACTGGTCGCACTAGGGAATTATTGATTGTTTGTGGGCAATAATGGTATTTTTTTGTCAAAGAGGTGGTTAGAAAGTGCCTCATAAAAGTTTTTTATGGTAAGTAGAATCCATCGAAACATCCACAACTCCAAAGTTTTAATTGGCAACTATAATATGTCCAAATGTTACCTCCGTCGATTGAAGTGCTAATCAATTTCAATACAAGAAACATATTCTGGTTAGTTGATTAAATGCAGATAGTGGAATTATCTCCCGAATCTACACAGTGTTTACAATTGTCATCGCCGACTCTGGCTCGCTCTTAATACGCCCGGGATAATGAGAAATATTCATGAACGTGGATTAGCTGCTGTCAAAAATCTCCACTTTTTGGCACATCAAACACCGATGGCAGCTCAAACGCAGCTTTCAAGTCCGTTAAAACCACCAGATGAAGGTAGAAGCGGAGTGCGAAAACAATGCAACGCACACGGTCATCACTTGTTAGCAGGAGTGTCGGGACAGATGCCAACTTCGAGCTGCTAGAGTGGAATTACGCAAACGTGAGGGTGGGAGAGTCATTGAATAAATAAAAATAATGGATGAGTTACAATTGGGAAATCTTTGCTGCTTGTTAAAATTCAATTTTGGAATTAGATTGAGAATACACTTTGGACAGAAGTGCTTCAGACGATTTTGCTTATGCAGATCAAAAGGACTTGCTTATCTCATGATACAGACACACTGAATATTGAAATACCCATTTATAAGTGAGGTCAGAGATGGGTCAGAGGACATAGGGCAATGAAGTTAAGCTATTGTTTAACACTAAAAGACACCTGCTATTTAATGTTGTGCTTTCCATTTTGTGCAAAATAGAATCTTCCTGCAGGCTCCTCTCAGACCATAGATGAAAGGCACATTTGCACAACACTGCCAAATCCCCCGCACATCACAGATTTGTAAAAGAAAATCAACGAGCAAAGTAAGTTAAAGCTGTGATCGTGGTGGACAGTGAATCCAGAGGGGAGTGATGGCGTTTCGGCTTCAGGAAAGTATGAAATATGAATCCATCACTTGAAAAACAATTGTGAGTGTGTAAATGAGAGATATATATTATATATATATTACGGCTGTCACAATTATTGCGTTTTTCTGTAACGCGTGAAAAGAAATTCACGCATTAACGCATGTCCGAAAGGCCCGCCCATTTATCCATAATATCACTCAGAGCCACGGACACAATGTGTGAGATGGAAACAGAGCAGGTAGGCCCTCTGGGAATTCAAGTTTTAAAAGAATACGCGCGTGACCGCGGGGCTGTAATAAGGAGAGTGATGGGGGGCTCTGCCAGATGACCTGGCCTTCACAGTCACTGGACCTGAACCCCATCGAGATACTTTTGGGGTGAGCTGGACCAGAGAGTGAAGGCAAAAGGGCCAACAAGTGCTAAGCTTCTCTGGGAACTCCTTCAAGACTGTTGGAAGACCATTTCAGGTCAATACCTCTTGAAGCTCATCAAGAGAATGCCAAGAGTCTGTGAAGCAGTAATCAGATCAAAAGGTGCTACTTTGAAGAACCTAGAATAAAAGTCATAATTTCAGTTGTTTCACACTATTTTTTTAGTACGTACATAATTCCACATGAGTTAATTCACAGTTTTGATGCCTTCAGTGTGAATCTACAATTTTCATAATCATCAAAATAAAAAACTCTTTGAATGAGAAGGGTGTGTCCAAACTTTTGGTCTGTACTGTATATATATATATATATATATATATATATATATATATATATATATATATATATATATACAGTACAGACCAGTACAGGGAATGATGTATACATGGGTCAGGTCTTGGTTATCTTGAAGAGGTGTGATGTGAATGGGTAGTAGATGTGCAAGGGGCCATTTAGGTCTTTTATGGTTGAAACAGAGCTGTAAAATACTAAAATAGTTTCTATATTTATCAATTGTACTGATAATGTATAATTATATATAATATATATAATGTTGACTACAGCTCTGAGAAGCAGATTTGCATGACCAGCCAAAAAAACACAATTTGAAATATTGTAATATATGTAAGGACCTCAAACTACCCATTATTTATTTTTACTGTGTATACAAACAAGAAACATTAGTGTGGACAAGCACAGTGAAAGCAGCAGACTACACCTATAATCTGTATTTTAATGTTTTATTTGATAAACAATTGATTGCTGCCATCTTGGATTTTCTTTTTTATCTTTAAAAGTGACCTGAGACAGAACAGCTACAGGCTTGAAGTGATATTTAAACACATTTAAATATATTTTTGCTGCCACTTTGGTTAATGTCATACCACAAAGGCAAAGACTAAAAAAAAAGGTAAAGAGAAACTGTATTATATTTCTACTCAAGGTCTTACATCTGATCACATGAGTCAGAATGTAGTAGGGGATTCCCTTTTGACACGTTAATTTTAGGATTTTGCATGTGACGTTGCAGTATTAGAGATAGTGTTTGAGTACCTGCGTGTTGGCTGTCTCCCGCAGCTGGGGCGATCCGCAGGTAGGGCGTGGTGAGCTGGGTCACTAGGATGGCAGCTGCAGGCACAGGTCCACACCACATGCAGCAAAGACACAGAGCAGAGAGTCCACACTGCAGCTCAAATCACTCTTGCATGCAAAACACAAGGGAGAGGTTTACGAATCAACGCATGACATCAAACAGTGTGATCATTTCTTGTGGTTTAGTTCAATCGTAGAAGTGCGTGATGAATCAGTTTGCTCCACAAAGCCTTGATTCTGAATTAATTGCAGTACATCTGAACTAGTAGTCTCAAGAAGAAATGTATGCTGTGTTCACATCTGTCCAGTTAAGGTGAACTCTGCTTCTCTTTTTATTGATTCTGGTTCACTTGACGTCACAAGGACTGAGCCTTTCCCCCAATGTCACCAATTTGGCGAATACGTTTGACCAGGATTATAGCTGAACAAACCAAATCTACATCAGGACTATCATTATTGATCATATTTTCATGCGTAAACGGCTGTGTGCAAGTAATTTCCCTGATGGATCACTGAGAAGAGTCCAATTTTGTTCAAAGCAAGACACTGGTTGGTTTCAATAGCATTAACTTTGTTAAAACCAGTGTTAGAAATAAATGAATATTGCTGGTGCAGCGATAAATAACCAAAAATAAAGAATGGAGGAGTTGAATCAGTTCGAACGGTGTATTAAATAATGTAAATGTATGACCATGGGACACTGTACTATTATATACTGCATTTCTTCTACAATATTATAGGTACAACTGTCTCCCCCCATGCTATATCTTCAACCAGTAAGATTTGCTCTGATGAGGGACCTCACAGATTTAATCCAATCAGGAGGTTGCGCTGGTGAGCATGGGGAGGTCAAATCAGTGCTTGTCTTGAAGTAACTGACTAACACTCATATTTTCACTGTGGAATGTACAAAAATACTATTTTGTCTCAAAGCAATAATAAAAAAACAAACATTTTAGATTACCATTGTGATCAATACAGCCCATGTAACATAGTACTTCCTTATAGGCCTCTTAGAATCCTACTTTTGTTTCTCAATCATCTCTTTGGGCGCAAATGAATACCAAGACTTCTAAAGGCTGTCTGTATCGAGCCTTGACATATCTGGTGCAAAATAAATCTATAGAGTGTCAGGAGCAGGCTAACGGCAGTATATAAGCAGATATCGCTGATGTCCGGGGGTGTGACACAGCTCCCCCTGGTCTTATCAATACAGTCCTGATCAATGGTGCTAAGAGCTCATCACCATAATGTGTGGAGCCGAGTGATAAGTGCAGGCGGAGGTAAGTAGGCACACCGGCCAGGCCCCTTCTACACATCTGGGGAAGGATCTATACATGGGTCAGGTCTTGGTTATCTTGAAGAGGTGTGATGTGAATGGGTAGTAGATGTGCAAGGGGCCATTTAGCTCTTTTATGGTTGAAACAGAGCTGCAAAATACTAAAATAGTTTCTATATTTATCAATTGTACTGATAGGTAGCCTAAATGCATAAAACAAATAACATAACTTTACTGCTGTGCACATTCTAATGATTTTTCGGCACCATTTGCAAGAGTCCGATGTGACTGCAATTGATAACTACTGTAAGGTCAGACAGCCAACCACTAAAACTAATTAAATGCATTGGATACATGGTATGCTTCATTGGGATATTTCAATACGGTTCTAATAGGAGTAAGCCTTTCTAAATCAAATTGACCTGCAATTAAAAATGTTTTTACAAGAGGAGTAGAGAAAGCTATTGTTAGTGATTGTTTATTGGTGGCATGTCTAAATGCAATTACTTGATGTGACAAATCCTAATCTTTACTCAACTGTTTCCTTCTTTCTACATGCATGTGAAGCCACAAGGGACCAGAAGAGTAAGGGTTTGTATAGAATATAAAGGAGCACAAATGAGGCTACAATCAGAAGCAATCTGGTAGGTGTGTGCAGTGGAGGAGGTCCACAGTGTGATTTGGCATTCATTTATCACCAAAGACTCAGTCAAAACCATCCCCACAGAACCATTCCAATGTTGTATTGTATTTATTTTGATCTCCATTCGCTGTTCAACACAGCTATTCTTCCTGGAGTCAAGCAAAGTGCATTAACAAAAAACATGTTAATCATGTTAGTCCCAAGAAAGCACTCTCATTCACAGCCAACACACATCACAGCACATATACATACCTTTGGTGGCGACACGAACACAGTCGATTTTGGTCTCCTGTGAAGAAGACATAAAAAAACAACAGGCAACATTAGAAAGTATATACACATAACAACAACAACAGTTTATTGACAAAGCCATTGGGATTGTAAAGGGGCTGCTCACACTTTACCTCTGATTTTTAATCTATTATCATTGGGATTTTTGACCAATAAATTGATTGGAATGCAGAAAAAGGTGAATCGGGGCCCATTTGAACTCCAAACTCGCGAAGAAGTCCAAGAATGTTGTAAACGTATTGATGAGGATCTGCCTGAAACGTTTAGCTTCATCATAGGTCCATATGGTAGGTCCCAAACACCACACATCAGTTACCGGCCTGTATATATATCAAAGAACATGTATGCAAATTTGTAATTTGAATTTTCTCTGTGCAGATTATTCCATCAAATAAATGTTGAGTATATGTAGCCAAAACTACAGGGCCGTCCAGCCATGTGTTTGTTTCAGTAGATTTAGAGAAAAAAAAGGATCATAATTCAATGATTTTGATATGAAAGGTGAAAAACCAACATCACACTTTTCAAGGGAAATCAAATAGTCGCAGTTCCATGTTATAAAGACAAATCTAGACTAGGGGTTGGAACTATTATCAAAAGGAGCCACGTTTTCCTCCTTCTGCCAAAAACGAATAGTCAAAAGCCATTTGTGTTAATGTGACATCCCAGCATTCCAAAAATCCTATGCTTTAAACACTGAGGTTGAGGGCAGCTGAAAAATCTATGGTAACTGCACAAAACATTTCGAGTCTTAGTTTAGAGCCAATGTTTCTGCATTTCAAGGGCCAATCAATATGAAACAGCCTCTTCTTTGTCAACTATTATTTGATAATTAAAGGTGTCTACAAGTGTGTTTCCCATAGAGTTGTACTGGCACCACATGAACGCATCATATATAGTAATATAAAAAAAGATGTTTTATTTGAAGAAAGTTTTAGCTCAGACGAGTATGTATTTTTGACAACCCCAGTCACAGTGTCATGTTTGTGATTGCTTTGCGTTTGTCAAGACTTTGCTGCTTCCTTTTGAGTTGGTCTCTCTCTCTCTCTCTCTCTCTCGTGTGTGTATATTTCCCCTAACAGCCTGTCCAGTTCCACTCAGCCCGCCATCATCTGCGCGCTCAGTGATCGGGACACCACAAACCCAGTGAGGAGGTGCAGATTATCCAAGCCGAAGCTGTGATTTGTCAGCCGCCTCCTTTCTCCTGTCCTCGCTTCGCCAATGTGCTCAGGGAAGCGTCAACAAGCGCACATCCCAGCATGCTCTGAATATGTAATGGGGGTCTGGACTTCGACAACATGAAAAATACGCTCGCCAAAAGGAGGGTTTTGTTGTCAATAATTGTCCCTGCTCGCTGCCTGTCGGACCGCGGCAGTAGGAGGAGGTAATGAGGAGGCCACACCAGAGGCAGTGTTGTGATGTGAGCGCAAAGTTGAGGGAAAACAAAAAGCAATGAGCATAAGGGACTGTTTTTGAGATATGCTAACCACACCTGAGACTATACTGTAGGAAGCAGAGCCCAGTGAAATATTGGCCGTTAAAGTAGTTTGAATGACTATTTTTTGCAAGAAGAGACAGATTTGTCTATACTTGCTCAAGATCCATCTCAAAAGGTCACTATGCTTTGCTTGAAACAAAAGTTTAATTACATGGCTCATTCTCGCAGCGCACGGGCAGAGCGACACGATAATTTAGGCATGTTCAGTGCGACCAAATAGTTCAATAGCTGTAGAACCGGATACGCTAATAAAAAATGCTTCTCTCTATTTTTTGGTTGCCATCCATTGTATTATAATGAATACATTTGATTATTGTTTGGTTTTGTTTGTTTTGGTCATCACAGCAATAATCAATATAGGGGTAGACAGCAATAAAACCAAACTATTGAAACCTGTTGCTTACATGTGGGTCAGGTGAAGGTTATAGAACTATGCACAAGTCAAACTGTGTGTCTCCCCGAGGTTTCTCTCTTTTTTCCCACTGGGTTTTTCTTAAGGTCTGTTGGACATTTAGTGTACAACTAGAAGGACTGTGGTGATGATCCAGGACACTTTAACATTCTACAACATGAATGGACATAATTCAACATGTGTTCTACATTCATTGTGTTTTAACTGTTGATTCTCTATTCTGTGTTGGTGATTTCAATGGTTTTGTTAAGTCCTCTGAGATGAGATACAAGAATAAATTGTATTGTATTGTAAGTCACACAATACTCTTCATATTTACGGTGTTGATACTCTTACCATCACAGTCTGGGCTTTTGCAGGAGCTCTTCTCTTATAAAGTTGTTGTACAAAAAATATGTTTTCAAATGGATGCATTGCGCTGTGACTTTAGAAAGCTGAATTATTTTGAAATTCACGTTTGTTTAGAGAATTTTATTTTCACATGTTCCAGTCTTCCCTGTGGTGAAAAACCAACAGGTCCAAACAACACACTTTCCCACTGTTTACTTATTAACTTGCCGATATATATTGATTTGGTATGACAACGGCAGAAACCATAACAACAAATCCTGATTTTGTCCAAAGGTGAATTCCTTGAAATCCTAAATTCAAACACCAGCCGAGCACTTCTAAAACTGAATCAGCACTTATAAACTTGTCAAGGCAAATATATATTTTTGCATCTCAACATCAACATCTAAATACATTTGCAATATTTCAAATATTGTTGGCACCTGTGTTTTGAGCCACCTCAGCATCAGATTATTGGTGTATTCAACATCAGAACATTGACGAGTCCATTCACCGCGCACGGAGCCCACGTAGGAGAAAAACAACATTGAAAAACCCTGGTGCAAAAATAAAGGGGAGAGTGCCGGAAACATTAGCGCACACATTAACGATGGCCTGTCGGATGGATCTTTTGTTAAAAGCCACATGTCACTTATTAGCGTTTGATTTTGGAATGACGACGGCTTGCAAAATGGGGGTATGGATGACAGTCACCTGCTCTGAGTGCCAAGTTGTTTAATGGCCCCAAAGACGTCAGCCTTTGCATGACCTGGTGACAGTGACGGCTTCATGAAAGAACTGCGAAGGCTAATGTAAGACGAAATATTAAAATATCATTTCAAGCTTGTTTCTTTTGAGCAACGCAGACTCATCCCTGGCGCTTGCTTCTCCTTCAGTTTGTTTCATATGCCACATAGAAGCTCTTCTTGCTAATTCACCGTGTTAAGTTTCCCACAATGCAACTCCGCGGTCTCTTGTGTGAACCTGCTAATTGGGCTGGATCTCATCTCGTGTATTGTTCCGAGGCACGCCGATGTTTCTCAATGAAGCCTGCAATAGTGATTTTTATTCAGAACAGCGAGTGGTGGAGCTGGTTGTGTCGAGGTTCCTAAAAAGAGGCAGGAAAGTTTGTTCTTGTTTTGTGCAATTTTGACTATGTAGGTGTTGTGCATAAATAACAGATCTTTTTGTATTTTGTTTTGACATAGTTGGATAAATGAGCAATAATAACAATGTTAAAACACATGTTTAATGGATAAGTCTCCAATGTGTACTAATAATGAACCCACCGTGAGAATTGAGTGATCTTCTGACCGTCTATTATTACAATAATTTGTTATCTTGTTGTAAGAGATACAGTAGGTGTTGTCACTACATTTTCAAAAGTTTGTATTTAAAAGGAAAAGATGCCCTAGCCATGCCTCAGCAGAAGCAGCACTTGAGCAGCAAAGGGAGAGGAGAAGGGCAAGTTACGAGGGGGAGAGGGATCTTAAGGGAACCTTTCCTGCCACAATAAAGGTAAAGGACATTGGGGCGCTAGTTCATGTGGGTTACACATGTTCTAACATTACTTTGGCTTATTCACGCAAAATACTTCTTCTATTCATTTGCTTTGACCTGGAGAAATTCTATGATTGTAGGGTTCCTCGAATATTAATATTTTGATGTCTAAGGAGGCCATTTTCTGTGTGATGTTTTTTTTTTTTTTCACTAAATTCCACATTGAACAAGATGGTATAACAATGATTAAAAATATATTGCATAATTGACGAACAGTAGGAGATTGTTATTGTACAAACACATCTAATTCAAAGTCAAACGTAATTTCATTTGCACTGTGCTTTCGAGTTCATTAGATTACGTTCAGTGAATAGCCATTCCCTCAACTATGCTAATGTAATTGTCCATGACTGCGCCAGCGCATGTGTACTTATTAGCACCGCATACTACACAACAAGACAAGCTGTCAGACTCAAAATGTCAAGCTCATCCAACATGTCCAAGAATCACACTGACGTAGTAGCATGTTTTTCTCCACAACGCTGCAGATGGTCTATTGTCTTGTAGACGTCAGGGATAAATATAGTGCTATGATCATGAAAAGGTCTAGAAAATAATGGCAATGACAACGATTTGTGGTATTTCATGCCTGCCATTTAGATGCCCTTCAATTGAAAGTTTGTATTAGTATTATATTATTTATAATCACAATGTACACATTGTCTTAAATGTTAAATGTGCACTTCATTACTATTGTTAATAACTTTTAGAATCATGTATTTATAGATGTTGGTGTGAATGGATGTGTTTCTGCTGCTGGACACCTGAAATTCTCATATGGGGATCAATAAAGTATCTCTCTATTTCAGGTTAGTGGTGTCAAATTCCCATATTCTATCACAATCCTGTATTTGTCTCTCTGCTCATTTGTTTTTAATTTACTTTCGAAGGATGGGGTTGGGTTAATCTTTAGGGTTGAAAGAAATAAAGTTGTAATGAACAAGAAACTAGATATCTTATTCAGTTCCACCATGTATATCACGTACCACCATGGTGTTTGAATAGCAAACACATGTCCAGACAAAGTACAAATCTACCCTTGCAACCGAGAGAATTCTGGTATAGCGAGAGCAGTTGAACTATGACGTAATTATTTTCCATCAAAGAAAAGTCGACAGTTCAACACTCATCTGCTATTGGACCAGTATTTGTTTTGATATTGGCTAAATTTTGGAAATGTACATGTTTGCATCAACCATAGACTTCATACAGATGGACAAGTTTTGCTCAAACATACTTTGGCTCCATTCACATTGCAAAGTAAATTCCTCTAGCTCTGAAACGGTGTGTGTCAGACTCGCCATTTTGGCCTAAAAGTCTGTTAACCGCCTTGTGTGATCCTGGTCCTTCACTCCTTATTTTTGATAATGCACAAAAAACAGTTACAAGTCTTAAGAATTGACTACTCAGAAACCGTCTGTCCTGATTTGGCTTGTGAACATGCAAGAACCTGTGACCTGCTTGCTGTGAAGCACAAGTGCTAATCCGTTTGCCACATTCCCATCAATATAACCAAATACAGTATTCTCAGTGCACAAACAATTAGGACCAGCTGGTAATAAAGTATGGAAAAAATTGAGACGAGGACGTCTCACTGGAACTACTGTATATATGATTTTGGTGAGCATAAAAGCCTCTTACCCCGTTGGCAGTGCTGACGGCCTGGTAGTAGATGCTGTAGCTTTTCTGTGGGAGGAGCGGATGGTTCCAGTAACCGTTGTATGTTTTGTTGTCCCCCACGGTGAAGGGCTGTGGCGCATGGATGCCCCCAGCAGGGAACTGTGCGGTGAAATAGTACTGCGAGTTGAGCGAGGAGGCGTTCTGGAAGTGGATGGGCACCGGGTAACAACGCAGGATCTCGGCTGTGCCTCGAGCTCTACGCGGGCGCTCCTCCTCCACCACCACCTGATATGCACTGTCCAGACAACAACACAAGAGGAGAGATAATTAAATTAAATTAACAACTTGTGAGCTTGCATGAGCTCACGGTTTGAACTTGGAGTATTCAATGGGAAACTTTTTCAAGGGCTGGTTGTGCGGGCAAGTCAAAAGATATTACACAAAAAAGTGTTTGTGAGCTTTTACTACATTTCTCCCTTGTCAAAAGCAAAGTTGGAGTTCAAAGCTGAAGACTAGAGAGGTTCAAAATAAAACTAGAATGGAAGACATCTTTTTTTCAGAGAGGCAGGACTTGTTGTAAAATGTTTCAGATTCTAAAGTTAAAGTTGTACTTCAATGCCCCTGTAGGGCAACTCATCTGCTGCATTTGACCCAAAGTATTTATCTATTGTACACGTTTAGTGGTAGGGAACCTACACAGACACAAGGAGAACATGCAAATTCCACTGAGAAAGCCCCGGTTCCGACACGGTTTCCAACTCTGAGAAGCGTGCTGAGTGCTAACCCCCCAACATAAAATCCCAAACTAAATAGTATCATTTATTTTTTTAATGGCAAACAATAATACAAAACATCTTTGAAACTATATTAGAACAATTGCTTGAAGTCTGCACAACAAGCGGGTTTTAAGCATTACAGTAAAGCAATTGTACAGTATTGTTTTCAGCGAAAACAAAAACACAATTATTTGTCTTACTCAACCTCTCTTATGCAAGAGTATATTAAAATTCATACATTCACCTCAACAGCTTGTCCCATCACATTTATAGTCATTCATTCATCTCATTCATTAAGCAGTAAGACCTTTGCTGCTGTCCCGTGTCATTTGCATGGTCTTGGTGAAACCCCACACCCTCTGACGGGGCCTGTATGTGTGCGTAAACAGGGTCTTTGTCGGTCTGGGCTCTCTGGGTCTAACAGGTGCGTGTGTGCTGCATTTAAACCATCCAGCGACACAGTGTGATCTCTGTGCCCATAAACAGGCGCACAGTGTGGGCCCCAACGTCGCCTCGGACTGGGGGAGGAGGACTGAAGGGACCCGTCGTAACCTTTTCAGAGGGAAGAATATGGAAAACGGGGGGGATCTTTATTTTTGGCCGTTTTGAAAGATGGGAGAAAATCATACTAAATAAATATAGGTAGCTATTTAGTTGGATTGGATGCTTTCTGTATTGTGTAGACGTATTACCAATTCAATACCCCAAAAAGTTTCAATATTGCAATATTGGCTGGTGCAGCAAGAATATGATTTCCAGTGTTCAGCCGTTTCATCCATTCCAAGGGTTTACCGGCATATATTGTTTTAATAGAATAGAATTGCCAAGCCTCATGTTATTTCCATCCTACATAAACAATAAATAAAACCTTTGAGAATAAGTATTGACAAAAAAGGTAAATTCCTTAACGTATAACCAAATGCTCTGCATGGATATGGATTGAATTGCATGATTGGTCGTGGATTGTCCTGATTCACTGAACCAATACAATTTGAGAAACAATTACAAAGTCGACGGTCCTAATTTTTTACAGAATACACTTCAATTCTAATTCTGAATTCCTTTTCCAAGACCACAATTCGTTGTAAAGAGCACATTTTCCTATACTGGTCTCTACTACAGATTTTTTTGTTTTATGCAGTAGTAGACAATGTGCATCTACAGGTGAGTAATCATATAAATAAATGAGTCGGTGTCAGCTGTGAGGCGTACTGTATGGGTGAGAAACTAAATCATTGCAAAGGTTAAATACGACCACCTTTCGCTAGTGATAAATAGTCATCCCTGGGCACGATCTGAGGTAGTGGGTCACAGGGAGGATTCAGGGGAGGCGGAGTTTTGGATTTCTGCATAATGGTGTTGTGTGAATGGTTTGGCAGGGACTGAGGTCTACAAGCTTTGGAGTGTTACTTCAAATTATACAAGAAATATCAGCAATCCAAGTATTCTTCCCTTTTAGATTGGGTCTCTATAGTGCAATTTATTTTTTATTTCAATTAAAATGGGAAATTACACTGCATAACATGACGCAAGCTTGCCACAAGACAGTGACTGTCTATATGTGACTATCCGTACATACAATTAAACAGGTTTCACATAAATCACACCTCCTCTTTGCTCACAAGACAATTTTAAGTCATTCTTTGACTCTCTCTCATTGTGAGACTGACTAGACACATTTTTGCCTGCTTCCATTCCTCCCATGATCATACATCTATTGGACATGCACTGGCAGAGGGTTGAAAGTGGCATTTACTAATTCCTGAAAGTTTCTGGTCTGAAAAAGCTGTTCCGAAGAAATGACAGAGGCCATACATGCATGTGAAACGGGTTCGAGCCCACCACAAGAACTACTTCACGACTCCCACTGATGCAAGACACTTAACCCCACTTTGCCTGAAGCCCCTGCTGAAAAATCAATTCTCTGTGTACTGGGTGCAGCTCTGACTGCAACCCTGTCGACCCAGAAATGGATTAAGGGGCAGAAAATGGATGGATGGATGGATGGTGAAACAGTTGCAACCATGTCAACGGTTTTAGAGCCAGGGACTAGGATTTTCTTGTAGTTATGAAGTAAGGTACCCCAGCTTACATCTTTGAACAGTGGAACTTCACATTTCAGCACAAGCAACTATGTAAATCCTCCATCTGTTCACTTGTTATTCAGTATGGTTGAGGTGAGTATGAGTCTGAGGTGGTAGCCTGCAGCACTGGGGCCCCTCAGGGCACTGTCCTCTCACCGTTTCTCTTCACCATCTACACCTCAGACTTCACACACGACACACACAGCTGTCACCTGCAAAAGTTCTCCGACGACTCCGCCATCGTGGGCTGTGTGTCTGAGGGGAACGAACTGGAATATCGGTCGGTTATCAAGGACTTTGTCGACTGGTGTGAGCGCAACCACTTGTGCTTGAACACCAGTAAGACCAAGGAGATGATCATCGACTTCAGGAGAAAACCACTTTCCCACACGCTGCTGAACATCCAGGGGGAGGACATTGAGCTGGTGGACAGCTTCAAGTACCTGGGTGTTCACATTAACAATAAACTGGACTGGTCCCATAATACAAACGCCCTGCACAAGAAGGGCCAAAGTCGCCTCTTCCTTCTGAGGAGGCTGAGGTCCTTCGGAGTGAGCAGGCCTCTGCTCAGGACTTTTTATGACTCTGTGGTAGCTTCTGCCATTTACTACGCTGCCGTGTGTTGGGCCCCGGGCAGTACAGAGCGGGACAGAAACAGACTGAACAAGCTGGTCAGGAGGGCCAGCTCCACTCTGGGCTGCTCCCTGGACTCTGTGGAGGAGGTGAGGGACAGGAGGGTGCTAGCCAAAGCCACCTCCATCATGAACAATACCTCCCACCCACTGCACAGGACTGTAGAGGAGCTGAGGAGCTCCTTCAGTGGAAGACTGAGGCACCCTCAGTGTAGGAAGGAGCGCTACCGCAGGGCCTTTATCCCCACCGCTGTCAGACTGTACAATAAGTCACTTTAAATGATCACTGTGTGAAAACCTGCACTACTATTGACACTGTTTCCAATTGACACTTGTCACTTTTGTTGTACATAATTATTGTCACTTTATTGTACCTATATCCTGCATGTAACATGTTTGCACATTTCCTCCCTTTGCACAATCTGAGTGTCTCTATCCATGCCAAATGTGACATGTAAATTTCTCCTATGTGAGATAAATAAAGCAAATCTTATCTTATCTGGTTCGTCCGTCTGAACTAAAGACATGGGTGGGTCTGGGAGTTACTGGCAGCCACTTGAATAGGGCCACCTTTCCTTTCCTCAGGCAAAAGACTCAGCGCCCATGGCAACCATGTACGCCTCACTCTAAAAAGTTTCCTTATCCACAAATATTTACCACAGCATGATGTATGTATGAATTTTCTGAATTTGTCTGAGGCAGTCAACAACGTTTAACTGACAATCTCTGACAATCCATGTCTATATGTAAAAGACACCAAATGATGGCGTTTTATCACATTATTATAGACGAAACAACATCCAACTTGATTTAAATCAATATAATGTATTATGTTTGGTCATTATTTATGACACTTTTTACTTTGTCATATCATGTTTTGGAGTGTGTATTATTATCTTCAGTAGAAAACATGGCAACACATAATATGGAGTATAGCAATATGCTATACAGTATACGACACAACTCCTTAAGCCAAAGTCCTATTTATAGCGGTAAACCATTTCCTTCAAGGTGGGTGGTTGACTATAGGAAGAAGTTCTGATCACACACTCCACATTCACACCTCAGGAAGGCAGTACTGTTGCCCGGTGCCACCACAGCGCGGTCATGGCCCTGGCTTACCCCTTGGCTTTCATACAGAAAAAAGTAGGTTACCCCCTTACGTCGTTATTTTCTAATGTTGAAAATAGTGTCCGCAAACCCAGCCATTTGATTGTAAAAAAGTATTGCTTCATCTGAAAAATTGACAATGTTTATGGGCAGAAAGACAGAAAACAGGTTTGAGCATGATGTCATAGTGGTACAACATCAAACTATTAAAGGATTGAGACAGAAAGGATAGAGTTGTGCCTGAAGTTCCTGATATTGGCGTAGATGGATCTAAAAACAACTCCAGTTGTTGTCTCTGACGTCCATGCTTTTGATAAGGGAATAACGTTGAGTAAAAGCTTAAAAAAGTTGATTTTGCATAATGTGTGTCTAATTGGTCGGTTGACATGCAAAGCGAGATATTACGTGAGTGCTGGAACTGTAAGTGGAAAAAAAACCTGCTAATGTACATCGTATCTCATAGCCGATTAGAAGCAATTTTGGATGTTGTGTTATTCTTCTTGGTTTTCAAAGGCTTATTAAAAAAATAACAGCACAATGCAGGGTGTTTGAAAACACACATTTTGAGACCAGATTGTCAGCTCTGACTGCAGCTGTTACAGGGAAAGGTCGTCCATTCGTGGGTTTCAGCTTTTTATTATAAGAGGGTTGGGGTGAGGTGTGGGCACGTTATTGAGGACCTCTATACCATTC